CAGGTTGCAGGGATTAGCCCAGCCTGATGCGGCTGAGCATGATGATACAAAGATGGTGCTGCTCCTGTTTGTTTGTTTGTTTGTTTGTTTGCCATGAAGGTAGGAATAATCACAGGGCAAGGCAGGGCCCCAGAGGTGGCCACATGGGACTTGAGATCAGGAGAGCTGTTGCTAAGGTAAAAAGTAGTGATCTGGTGTGGATATACTATGGACCAAAATACTGTAGAGGGGAGGAAAGCTGAAATCATGAAGGATGGGTGGAGTGCCAGATAATTGGAGGAGGGCTAATGTCCCTATCTTCAGAAAGGGCAAAAGGGAAGAACCTGGGAACTACAGACTGGCCAGCCTGAGATCAATCCCAGGGAAATTTCTGGAGCAGATTATGCAGCAGTCCCTCACCAGGCACTTTGAGAACAATGTAGTAATAACTAGAAGCCAACATGGATTTGTCAAGAACTAATCTTATGTTTTGATCGGGTAACTTTCTTGATAGACAGAGGGAATGCTGGAGATATATCTTGACTTCAGCGAACCTCTTGACAAACTGCCCCATGATATTCTGTTTAGCAAGCTAACTAGGTGTGAGCTTGACAGAACAACTGTCTGGATAAACCCTTGGCTACAGAATCGTACTCAGATTAATGGGTCCTTCTCTAACTAGGAGGAGGTAACAAGTGGGGTTCCCCAAGGCTCAGTCCTGGGCCTGGTGCTGTTCAGCATTTTTATTAATGACTTGGATAAGGGAGTGCAGGGAATATTTATCAAATTTGTGGATGACACAAAACTGGGTATAATAGGTAATACCTTGGAAGACAAACAAAATTCAAAATGATCTTGATAGACTTCAGCACTGTACTCAAAACAATAGAATGAAATTAAGTTCAACACCTAAGGGGAAAAAACTAAATATACAGTTACAAGATGGGAGATACTTGGTTCAGTAATACGAGTGAGAAGGCTCTTGGAATTGTGGTAGATCAAAAGCTGAATATGGTCCAGCAGTGTGATGTGGCTGCAAAAAATGGCAAATGCTATTTTAGGCTGCATTAACAGAAGTATAGTCTTCAAATCCCGTGATGTACTAGTTCCCCTCCATCCGTTACTGGTTTGGCCTAATCCTGAGTACTGTGTCCATCTAGACCCGGGGCTCACTATAGAAACCCAGGTGGCGTCGGTGGTCCGACCCGCCTTTTACCATCTTAGGCGGATAGCCCAGCTGCGGCCCTCTCTCAATGTGGGGGTGCTCACTACCTTGGTGCATGCGCTCGTAATCTCAAGATTAAACCACTGCAATGCGCTCTACGTGGGGCTGCCTTTGAGGCTGCTCCAGAAACTTCAGGGGGTGCAGAATGCAGCGGCCAGACTTCTCAATGGTGTGAGAAAATACCAACACATCTCACCCACTCTGGCCACATTGCATTGGCTGCCCATCTACTTCCGCATCAACTTCAAAGTCTTCATGCTTACGTATAAAGCCCTAAACGGTTTAGGGCCTCGATACTTGGCGGAACGCTTACTCCCACCAAGATCCACCCGTGTCACTCGCGCGAGCCAGGAGGTGAGGCTGAGGAGCCTAACGCCAAGGGAGGCCCGGAAGGAAAAGACAAGAAATTGGGCCTTCTCGGCGGTGGCTCCTCGCCTCTGGAATAATCTACCTCCTGATATTCGCGCGGCTCCCTCGCTGGGGATTTTTAAAAAGCAACTAAAAACATTGATGTTCCTGCAGGCCTTCCCCTCAATCAGTTCCTGACCTCCCCTCCCTCTCCTCTCCCTACTCTTTGTCCTACTTTGTTGAAAGTTTTTTTCTTTATGTAGTATTGTTTTTATACATATTGTTGTATGTTTTTTTGTAAGCCGCCTAGAGTGGTCTTAACCGACTAGATAGGTGGGATATAAATAAAATAAATAAAAATAAATAATAAAAATATGTTGAGCTTCAAACCATTTTTTGCACTCTCCTCTTTCACCTTCATTAAGAGGTTCTTTAATTCCTCCTCACTTTCTGCCATCAGAGTGGTAACTGGGCAGGTTTAGCCTGGAGAAAAGAAGATTGAGGGCAGATAGGATAGCTGTACAGAGGAGAGGCAGGGTCTACTCTTGATCATCCCAGAGTCCAGGACACGCAACGGTGGGCTCGAGTTACAGGAAGCCAGGTTTTGGTTGAATATTGGGGAAAACTTCCTAACTGTTAGAGCAGGAAGACAATGGAACGCATGAACTCAAGGGGAGGTGGTGAGCGTTCCAACACTGGAGGCATTGAAGAGAAACTTAGACAACCACCTGGCAGATATCCTCTGATTTGTTTTCGTGCATCGAGAACAGGGTTGGATTTGATGGCTTCTTCCATTATTCTAGGATTCTATGACTATCAAGTAGGCCAAAACTTCTGGTGGTGCTAAGATTTTGGCCAAGGGTGGAGACTCAGAAGAGTTCCCATCTGTCGAAAGGGTGGTCCATCTTGATGGGTTTTGGAGCCCTTCAGGAGTGTGATAATTGGTGGTTACATTTTCATCAGGCGGGCTGGAGTGCTCAGTGGTTTAGGAGGTCACTGGCCATGGAGCCAGAGGTTGGGGGTGGGAATCCCCTGACGGTGCCTCCTGGGAGAAGAGCCAATTTGTGGCGCCCTTGGGTGAGCTGCACGGTTGCAGGGCATCCCGCGAAGAAGAGAATGGGGCCCCATTCTGAGTACTGAAAATCTAGAAAAGCTTGGAAAGGGTTGCTATATGCCATAATTAAGTTGGCACATAATTATTTTGTTATGTCTGCGTGAAGATTGAGTTGTCTGACAAAGCGAACATCAGCAAGTTTAGAGGGGCACGAGAACGAGGATGCCCAGGGTCCCCACCTGCTGGCATCCTTTGCATGATGGGCAGCCGGTGTGTGTGTGTGTGTGTGTGTGTGTGTGTGTGTCTGCCTGCCTGCCTGCCTGCCTGCCTGCTGCTGATCCCTTTAAATGCTCCCAGGACAGAGTCTTCAGGTCTGGTCATTGGCTGCCTTTTTGGGCCTTGGAGGGAAGGAGGGTGGGCCTGGGTTTGGTCCTGCTTTTCTTGTGCAAACGGGTGTGTGTGTGTGTGTGTGTCCTGGAGTTTGTTTCTCTCCACTGGCTGGACCTCAGGCAGCCTAGAGCTAAGTCTTTCAGCCAGATGGGGAGTGTGGTGGTGGTGGTGGTGGGGACAAGTAGAGTGGAGTGTGGGTGTGGGTGTCATGTTTGAATTCTCCACCCTTTGAAACGTGCTATTGAGAGCTAAAGGAAACACTTAGCCAAGGGTTGTGAACAGAGGAAGCCTTCAATTGTCTGCTAAATTGCACCAGGAAGGGGCTTGGCCCGCTGGCGGGAGGCCCCGAAGGGAGTTGGCACCACCACCAAGGAAGTCCTGTTGCCATGCACAATTGACTTTCGTTGATTTAATTATTCAAAAGCCTTCTTTTTTTTCATTCCTCGAAGTGGTAAGGAAAATTAATGAAGAACAGTGCCTTGATAAACATCCTCTCTCCCCCCCCCGCCCTCGACCTTGTGTCCACTTTCAAGTTCCTCCCTGAGATGCCGCCTTTGTTCACACCGGGCTTCTTATCTCCGGGACCCCCCTCCTTTTTGCTCCTTCCTCCTCCTCCTCCTCCTCCTCCTCTAGGACTTGTCCTGGCCTCACCTCCACTTTTCAGGCCCTCCGGCAGGCCTTGCGGCCCTCTGGATTCTGAATGTGGTGATGATAGTAAGTGCAGCAGGAATGGATTCGGGGTCTTCCAGGTCAATCTTGCCCTCGTGGAAGGGCAAAAAAAGTCTTTTGGAACTGGAAGGTCTTGTCGGCAGCCGGGAAACTCGCCGGGCCTCCGGCCTCCAGCACCCTTTGGAGAGGGGGGGGAATCGACAGCCCTGTCGTGGCTTTCGCTTGCCCTTAGTTCTCTAGCTTAGCCCAGCCCTGGAAACGTGGGCCTGTACGTGGCTGGTTCGGTGGAGCCATCCCTCTTCCAGAGCCCTGGACCAGCCTCTCTCTCTCTCTCGGGGGGGGGGGGGGGGAGCAGCGGCAACACTCAGACCACAAGCATTGCACTGAGGTGGGATCAGGCGGAGTCTCTGAGGGCCCACGGAGGCCCCCAAGCAGCAGCGCACGGGTCGGACGGCGCCCTTCGTTGCCACTCTTGCCGCTGGGGTCGATCCGCAGCGGTCGGTCGTAGGGCGCAGACGCCTCTGAGCTCCCCGAATGTACTCGTCTCCCTTGCAGTGCTGTGTTTCCTTGTGTCGTTGGGACCGGCAGGGTGTGTGGGTGCGCGCATGGATGCCTGGGACGGCTGTTTTCGACTGGCCTGTCCAGGAGCTTCTCTGGAGATTAATTGAGATGTGGGGGGGGGCAATTGCCTGATATTTTTTTTAGCTCTTCCTCACCCGAGCTTCCACCTTCTCCTTCTTTCCTGCTAGCTCCCTCTTGTTTGTCTCTTTCTTATTTGCCTTGTGCTGTTCCGTGTGTGTGTGTGTGTGTGT